CCCGCGCGCACCTGGGTTGGTGTGTGTGGGTGTGTGTGCCCCCGCCCGGGCCTCCGGAATGTCCGACTGACGGCCGCCGTTGCGGTTCTCGGGTTCTCACCAACCCTCTCCTCCGCAGGTTCCACTCATGGTCCGAGGCGCTCCCAGAAATCAGGGAAGTGCTTACTCACAGTTACCGCCTCCTTGTAGAGGGTGTTCTGAACGTCGCAGACAAACAGCCAGGCGAACAGGTGCATGGGGAGACCTAGAGGGCCCACAGCACAGGTGCTTCGTTCCCTGCGGAGTCAGGGTGCCACCCTCCCGGCGTGGGGAAGGTCTTCATGTGTCCTCCCCAGAAGCCTTTGTGTGTCCAGCTGCCCAGGAGCTCATGGACGCTCTTTTTGAGTCCTTATTGTGACTTCGTTCTGTAAGCACGAAATGCTCACCCGCTGGCTGGGAGACCCAGCAAGGCTGTCTTCCTAAAATGGTGGTCTCTCGTGGCAGTCCTTCTTCCTGGGTATGGGGCAAGGCCCTCTGGAATGAATGTCTGTGAGCCCCCTTGGGATGGATGAAAGGAGTGCAGGAAGGAGGTAAGGCTTGGCTTTTCTCTCTCTGCAGCTGTCCCAAGCTGGGCCGGGAGCTATAGGCCAAAAACCAAAGCGCACAGTATTGCAGTCCCTCAGCCTTCCAGGTCCGTCTGTAGTAACCACGCAGGTACAAGCACTCAGAGCTCAAAATCTGAACAGCGAAAGGGGCCGGCCCATGGCCCAGTGGTTAGGGACGCCTCATCCCACATGGCCAGTGTTTTCCAAATCCTGGCCCTGGCCTCTTGAAAAACACACTGGGCGCGTGTGGGGTGACACTCAGAACCCTGACAGGATGGAGAAATGGAAGAGCAAGGACTGCATGACCACACCCGCTGGGGGATGCTTTCTGCCCTCTGCCAAATTAAAAAAAAAAGAAGAAGAAGCAACAGAATAAATCTTTGATAGAATCATGCCTTTATATACAGTCTCTTGTATATATATTTATTTTCTTCTTTTTGGGGGGTGGAGGATAAATTGTATGTGCATGGCGATGCTCTCAAATCATTCTTGGTTTGAAACATTTTAAACTTTTAAAGTCCTGTATCCCTGTATATCGGCAGAGAATAAGCCAGATTCTTTCCAAAGTCGTTGCTCCTAATACTCATTCTTATTTTAATATTTTTACCTTAGTCCATTGTAGAACTTTCTTTCAGATTATAAGAGTAATATTTTGTGTTAAAAAGTTTGATGAATAGGGAACCAGCAGTTAGCATAATGGCTGTCACTGGACTCCCACGTAGTCGACCACGGTTCACATCCTGGACCCAGTGGCTTAAAACTCACGCCGGGTGCGTGTGCGTGCGTGCCCAAGATCCCGAGAGGAGAATGGAGGAGAAGGGATTGTGGCGTGACCATCCCGACTGGGGATGATATCTCGCTTTCTGTCTCTGTGTCTCTGTCTGTCTGGCGAGCACACGCGCCCTATGGCGAAAAACCTCTCCAAAAGAAAAAAAAATAAAGTTTGATGAATGCAGAAAAGTGTAAAGAAGATGAAAATTATCCCTAATCCTATCGCATAGAGATAAATTGATGTAACCTTTTTCAAAATAAAATCTGTCATTTTTATTTTACTTTAAATATAGTAGAAAAACCGAATTGAAACTTACGTAATTGGTGAACCTCAGCTAAATGCTTTTAACAAAGCCATCCTAAGAGCCTTCCAAAGTTAAAGAACATAGAGATTTGCGGACACCTTTAAGTACTCTGGACATAAGGAAATAGGAGATTAAAAGCCGAAGACCCCTTAGCATTATTCAGTGAACAGAGGCAGTTAGTACTTCATGGTGCTGGGCAGCCTGTCCCACGCTCTGCTCCAAATAGCTCCACCCCTCAGCCCAAACACCTCGTCTGTTAAGCAGTTTCACATCACGGTCCTACCCCCAGCGTCTGATGCCCATCAGTCTGCATCCTGATTTTGTGCATACATCTCTTTCATATATGTCATATGTCTGCAGTCATACCGTATGTGACCTTTTGTGTCCAGCGTCCCTCACTGAGCACTGCGGTTTCAGCTCCCCTCCACGCTGTTGCCTTTATCAGGTCTACATTCCTTTTCTTGGCCGAGTAATATTCCGTCATATGTGAGCCCACCACGTGGCTGCCATGCTCCGTGATGAGCGACCTGTGTGTTTCTGCCTTTGGCTGCTGAGACTGGCACTGCTCTTACGCAAGTGTGTGTGGAAACACCCGTGTCGAGGCCGGTTCTCAGCCCTTCCAGGTGCGGCCCAGGGACGGAAGAACTGGGCATCTCAGAATTCTGCACTCGGCTTTCTAAGCAGTTACCGGACTGCTCCACCATGGTTTCACAGCTTTAGACAAATGTTTTTTATGCTAGAGATCACGCTTGTGTGCATGAGCGACGCCCCCAGCCGCAGTGGTGTGCACTCGCGCCAGGGGACTTTTTCCTCTCCTGCACTGCACCGGCAGCACTCTTGTAGGTTTTAAAATAATTTTCCTAAGGACTTTGAAGGCTTTGCGCTGGGCTTTCCTCCTACCCATGTTCCCCCCTGAGACATGGTAAGTCCCGCTCCCTGGAGACTCGTATAAGTGCTATTACAGTTAAAACAGACCGGAATCTTTAGCTAGATTCAACCTAACATTTTAATGTGGGAGGCTGGCAAGAGACAGTACATGAGTGATGTCCGTATGGGTTAGACAGAGACTTCACGGAGTACGAGAGAGCGAGAATCCAAGGGGGATGGAATTGCTTAAATACGGTGGTCAGGAAAGGCCTCACTGGGAAGCCGACATCCGAGTATAGATCCCAAGGGAACAAGCTCCGCTAAGGGGAGGGGGGCAGAGATGTCACCGCTACATCCCAGGAACAGCTGCAAGGTCAGTATGGCTGCAGCAAAGTGAGTAGATAGGGGTTAAATCAGAGAGGTCACTGGAATCTAGGTCTTTTAAAGACTTGTATTTATGAAATAATTGTTGTTCTGATAACTGAATACCACTCTGTAATTGCAAAAAAAAAAGAAAGAAAAAAAGAAAAGTTGCAGCTGTTTTGTTGACATTCTGAATTCTTTTAAGTAAACACAATTTTTTTATTAAAAAAAAGAAAAAAAAAGACTTGTATTTGGGGACCAGCCAATGGCCTAATGGTCATGTTGCTGGACTCCCACATGAACAACCGCAGTTCGAGTCCTAGACTCAGAGGCTTGAGACTCACGTTGGTGTGTTATGGATGCGAGCCCCAAATCCTGGGTGGAGAATGAAGGAGAAAGGATTGTGGCATGGCCATTCACCCTTGGGGATGATCTCTTGCTTTCTGTCTCTCAGGCCTTCTCCCGTGTTCACATTTGTTCGTGGCTTTTGCTTTAGCAACACAATGAACGGTGGTTTTAAATTTAGAAAGCATATGGTTAAAAATGTTTTAATGGCATTAAACACACAACATGCATTTGTGGTTGACATGCTTCCTTGATTTTTTAAAAACTTTTACTGATTTATTTCTTCAGAGACTTAGAGAAGCCCCCGACAGGGTCCCCAGGCTGCAGTCTACCCCTGTCTCGGGCACCTGGGTCACTTGCACCTGTGCCTGTGTCCCCAGCGAGGTCCCAGTATGGGAGCCCAGAACCTCTGCCATATTGGTTGAATGAGTCACCTCTGTGCCACCACCTGGTGGTCCGTCCTCTTGATGTCTCAGGTTCGTAAATATTTCCATGGAATGTTCTTGAGAACTGACATGCCCCACGTGAAGGTCAGAAGCAGGATCAACTTTTATCTTATACAGCTTTAAGGAGCTTATGGTTCAAATGAACTTAA